ATTTATAAGTACGTTTGTTTAGCTATTCGGATTTTTGTTTTTCCATATATTTTTATTTTTTCTTCATACTGTCGGATCTATATCCATATATTTGCTTATATATATATATATATATATATATATATATATATATATATGATGGACTCTCCCATCGGTTTCGACGTATGAGGATCTGCCAGCTTATTGATTCAGTTCAGTTATATATATATATATATATATATATATATATATATATATATATATCAAGGAAAAACTTAATGCATCCTCAAAAACACAGTTATAAATTATAATTTATTTAAGTGGGTAAGTTTTTAACACCTGGCTCAGCAGACTGGAATTATAAATGCTATAAATTTACAAAAATTTCAATTTATCCAGAATATTTTACAAAACAAGATAACAGTAAGTCTAGTCACTTGACCTAGAAAATCTTTTTTCTGGGGATTTATGATATTGAAGACATATGTAAGGGGGAGGGGATGTTAGCGTTCAACCTGATTTTCATGTGTGATGTTTGGGAGAACATAGTAACAGCTAGAGGAAAACACTAACACATACACACACAGCCACATATACATACACACATACATATATAAATATATACATATACACTTATAAAAAGGAGAAAAGAAAATAATAAATTTACAGACAGAAAATAATTGAAATAAAATGAATGAAAATATAATCCAAAACATATATATATATATATATAAAAGGTTAATGTTAATGGTCAGAGTTGAAACAGACCAGGAAACTGTAGTATTAAAAAGTGCTCAATACACGTGTGAAAAAATAAAATAAAAAGGAAAAATAACATGTAGAGCTTTTAACTTTAAAAATCAGGAGATCAGTTGAATCTACTACCTTGGTTTCAACCTTATAGGGTATCATCAGGTGATTTTTATGAAATGACATTAATACTAAATAAACAAATACACAATGTGAAGAAGAAAAAGGAGGAGGAGGAGAAGGAAAAGGAGAAGAAGGATATTATTATTAATATTATTATTATTATTGTAAAAAAGTCACAGGCATTCTTTCTCTGATCCTTATCTAAAACCAAGACAGCTCTTTCTAAATAGTACTGGGAATTAAAGGATAGAAACTTCTCCCCACACATTGAATGGAAGATTATAGATAAATCTCAAACCCCCAACGGCTTCAGAAATAAATTTAACTTATGCTTGGAAGAAGAAAATTACAATAATTAAATTTTTAAAAAATTAGCTAGCTATTAAACCAAAGGAATGAGATCATATTTAAATGTCATAAAAATAAATTTAAATTATCTTATGAATAGAATTTTAGTCTATCTTATTTTTATTTTATTTGCAGCCATACAATTATTTTGTATTAATTATTGAAATTAATATTAATATGATTTTTGTTTTCATATTTATGTATTTGGGCATATAAATATGCAGGTGTATGTATATATATATGCATGTATATATGTGTGTATGGATGTGTGTGTATATGTGTTGGAGTCTATAAATATGAAGATGAATTAGATATTGAATTTAAGATGTTTTTGTTGTATATTATTTCCACTTCCCCCTTACATGTGTATATATGTGTGTGTGTGTGTGTGTATGTATATATACCTTCAGAGTCATGCATAAGATAGATGCAAGATGAGGAGCGAACATGATTAGGTGGCCATTATCTGTAAAGATTATCATCATCATCATATATATAAATATATTGTATTATATATTCATTCATTTTATTTCAATTATTTTCTATCTCTTAATTTATAATTTTCTCTTCTCCCTTTTATATATGTGTATATATGTATATGTAAGTATTTATATGTGTATATGTATATGTGTTAGTGTTTTTCTCTACCTGTTACTATTGTGATGATGATCATTGCACACATACATACATACATACATACATACTTACACAAATTCAAATTATACAACAACAAGCATCAATTGGATAATAAATCAACACTACTGTGTAATGGACAATTTATAAATTGCAGCTATGCGACAATTTTATAATTGCTATATTTTCATGTAGTCAATTTGGGAGAATTGGATCCAAGAAGCTTTCGTGATTCTCCTCAAAGCTCGCTCAATGATTGGTCAATGCCAACCAATCAGATTGTCTGCACTTGAAGAATGATTCTTCCTGCGCAGCACTTCGGAGCCGATAATCACCTATATTCTTAGATAATTAGTGAGATTTCAGCTGCCAAACAAATTCACAACAGTTGAAACCATGTGCCAATCTTCTCACTCACACCCTCACTCACATGCTGAATATTCCCTACACTCACATAATCTTTTTTCATACACAGCAAAACTGTTGAAAACATATTACCAGAAACTATTACAACCTTATTTCTTTCAGTGAACTTTGGAACAACTGATGGTTAAAGAGAGACAACTCTTGTTTTACTCAATGCATGCTTTTCTTTTACATTGTTGTTTGTACATCTTGTTAAATACAAATTCTATGTGTAATAATGTCTTTGGCTTATCCTCTTTTTCTTCACGTCAGTTTAGTTTCCTAATCTAAGTTAAATTAATGTAGTGAAGTCCGCCACACTATATTCTCCCAGCCACCACACATGAAAATCAGGTTAAAAGTTAACAACTCCTCCTCCACCACATGTCTTCAATATTAAATTTTAAAATGAAATCCCCAGAATATAGATTTTCTAGGTCAAGCATCTAGACTTCTCGTTATCTTGTTTTTTATTCTGGATAAATTTAGATTTAAACTGTTTTGTAAATTTATACCATTTGTAATTTTGGTCTGATGAGATGGGTGTTAAAACCGTTAAAATCTTACTTATTATAAAACGCAGATTGTGTGTGTGTGTGTGTGTGTGTCTGTACGTTTATATATTGGATCAGATTTCCTAAATTTTTCAACCGATTTCAACAAAACTTCACAGGACTACATAAAATTACCTTGCGGTGGTTCTTACAGTGCCAAAAATTGGAAAAACACAATTGTTTTTGCACGGAATCAATTTGAAAACACGATTCTGTCGCCAGAATGAAAGGGGGACAACTCATATCAAATTATACTTATAAAACCCAGGTTGGTTGTGTGTGTGTGTGTTTATATATGGGATCGGATTTCCTACATTTTTCAACCGATTTCAACAAAACTTCACTTTTTTTGGCAGGTAGTGTTTCTTATTGTCTTGCACACTTTTTTCCTTATTTTTACATTCAGAATGCTTTAAAAATTCCATTTACAAGACAATTGTTTATAATAAAATTCTATTCAATCGGTAGACTCATAACGATTGAAAACAATGTTTTTGTTTGAGTTTGTGTTTGACCAATTCGTAAAAAAACTAATTGAGACATGCGTGTCCGTCAACCTTAAACAATAATCTTTGTCAATTTTATTTTTCAGTCTTTATGATGGTCAATACTTGATCTATTTCTTACTGTTACATCCCCGGGCAATGCCGGGCTCTACTGTTAGTAATTTATAACTGTGTTTTCGATGTGTTAAGTTTTTCATTGATGTATTGCTCTGTGCATTGAGCTTTCTTTATGGATCCAACTTTTTAATATTTTATATTAAAAAGACCTACTTGGGTTATCATTTCCATTTACGGATTATATATATAAAATCCGTAAATGGAAAGGATAATCCAAGTAGGTCTATTATTCCAGGAATAGACAGCACTCTTCACAAACTGGTGAAAGGTATATACCTTCCACCAGTTTGTGGAGAGTGCTGTCTATTATATATACATACATACCTTTCACCAGTTTGTGGAGAATGCTGTCTATTCCTGGAATAATAGGGTGCATGGAATGCCTGTTTTGTGGGTTTTAGGGAGACCGTAGCGTAAAGTTTAAATATTTTCGGTCTGAAAATTGTAAAAATATTAAAAAATTAAAGTCAGACAGACGTTGTCAGTCATTTTTAATCAAATTTGTTTATGTATATAAAGAAAATAAATGGATTTTTTTTTTAATAAACTGACACATTTTTTAATAAAAAATCCATTTACCTTTATTAAAATTCGCTTTGTTTACGTTCGAATACGAAACTGTGCATATATGAAAAATTTCGGGAAATCTATGACAAGAGAAGTTTTTGCTTTATGGTACAATTCGCCCTTCCCTGATGAATTGGCTCTTCTTGTAGCTTAGTTAGTGCATATCGGATTTAAATGATAGCTTTTCAGGTACGAATCCTGCCAGAGACTAGAGTGTAATTTTTTCTTTAAGATTTCTCGAATATTCATTATTAGACGAAAATAAATATAGTTTTGTTTTTTTTTAATAAAGAAACTACTATTACTATTATTACTAAAAATAACGCTCACAAAGTCATTAAAATTAAGTAATATGTATGTACGTATACACACACACATTGTTAATTCACCAATACAAGGCCCAAAGGCTACTCTCTACGTTAAGTGAAGTGAGATTGTTGTACTTGTGAAGGGTGAAGTCGCGTCGGAAGTAAGAAATGCATAACTATGAAGGTCTGTAGGATAGATATCGGTTGACACTGGACTTGAAGAGATCAAGATTGTTAGTGGAAAACCAGCCTAATATTGTTAAGAAATTTATTTCCCTTATAAATGTATGTATGTGAAAAATAAAATATTTGTCTGAAGAAGAGTGTACCAAGAACTTAGTGTAAAAACGGGATTATCAGCTCATAAAAGACAAGAAAAGTTGTTTTTTTTTTTTTCTTCTTTTTACCTGTGAAAATTTATTGACCTGGCCTCCCCACTAAAGCAGGGTGTGACATGAAGTCATTCTTTTTATGTGTGGTGGTCATACGCATGCATATGGGTCAAGAAGAGGAAAATTGCAACCACTGTCACGATGGACAAATGCGACATTGCAAGGGAGAAAACTTAATGAAATACAATGGAATTCTTTATTGTTGTCATAGTTACATCATATTGTGAAAGTAAAAAAGGAAACAGGAAGTCTGCGCGTGAGAAAGCCCGCCAAAACCGACTTACAGTTTTTTCATGTCGTACTTTACTTGCTTCTTAAATGTTATTTACCAAGTATCACGCGGTAAGTGTTCGTGTTTCTTTATCATGAAACATAGGCATAATTATATACAACTAGAAGAAGTCTATGGTAAATAATCTGTTGATTTTTAAAGGTGAAAATATGAGTGACCCTTTTTGGCCTTTTATTTTTATTTTTTTGACATAATCACTGACTACTGTCAATTTAATTTTTCTTACTGAATTAATCATTTAAAATATGACTTTCTCGCTAATCAGGATTTAGTTCATTAAAAAAAATAAACGAACAAAAACAATCTTGAAGTAAACACAAAAGGAGTTTTTTAAGCAGACAAAGGCGATGACAAGACAACGAAAAACATTAAAATAAAGAGAAGGGAGCACAACACTTGTCACTGATAACTTTTTTGTTTGTTATTCAAATTGCTTAGGCTTTTCCGCATGAAATATTTCATATTGAAATATTCTTTGTTTTTTTTTAATTTTATTCCAATGTATTTATGTGCCCTTATTTTTCTCTGTCGATTACATCATTATTAATCCACTTTTTGTAACTTAATGAAAATGACATCAATGTTAATTTATTATTTGCATATCTCTTCTTCCCTTTCATATCGCTGGTAAAACTGTTAGTATTCGCTTCTTAATTTTCATTTATCTAGTCTTTGAGATATTGTATTTCGTTGAAATCATCATTTTATTTTTGTAGGGCTTTTTTAAAACTTGGCTGTTCTGTTAGGCAATTCAAATTTTGAGATATTTTCCATTATTTTAAGCTTCCGGATCTCTCTCTCTCTCTCTTTAGATCGCATCGAGCACACTTTTTTTTTTGTTTTACTCTTTCTATAAAATCGTAAGAAATATAATTTAGCTTTTAATAAAAAAAAATTCAGAACGAAAATAAACACATAAAAAGGGTTGGACTTAGCCATTTTGGATAAAATCGTAAAAATTAAGTACCAAAAATCCAAAATGAATGCTTTTTTTTTTTTTTTTTTTTTTTTTGAAAATGCAAGCAAAAAATAACTACCCTTTGTTTTAAAATATTTACCAAAAATCAGGATTCAAATCAGATTTAAACGAAATTTTCAGTACTTATTCATTTAATGAATGGATATATTGGATTGTGTACTTTTCATTTTTTTTTCTTTAGTTTTGGTCCCTTACAACACAAATTTCTGTCAAATTAATGTTTTTGGCTTGCTCTTTTTTTTTTTTTTTTTTTTCTTTTTTTGTCTCTGACTCCCCAACTTCAAATAATGCTAACAAAAAAATGTCTGAGAAAAAATTTTTTTCTTCTTTTTGAGTGTAAGTTCCCAAATAAATATTAAAGCAATTTAAATATGGAAAATATAAGAAAATTATCCTTAGGAAGATAAAACATATCTAGTTCCTTTCACAAGCTGATCATTACCCGCTTTTAGCATCCTATGCCAGGCGCTAAATATCAGTTTCTGACATAACTTTCCTTGTATTTATCAGAAAATCATGATCTAGACCTTTACTCCTATCAGATTTTTTTGTGGGGGCTGAATTCATTTTTGGCCTTGTCTCCCCCTCCTCCAAAAGGAGGTTAAATGGCTTAAATACAAAATTTAAGCTCTTTTTAGGAATTTAGGGTTTTCACTGCAGACTAGGTTTTCTAAACCCCAAAACTCTTAGAATTGTGAAAGTTTAATCTTTCTCTAAAGTATAAATAAAGTTAAAAAGGTTCCATAATTGAACTGAAAATCGCAAATGTTCATTTAGCTCAAATGTGTGTCCTGGTATTTATTCAGCTTTTGCAAAATCCTATTTTGGGATTGCCATCAGTTGTCTCATCTTATTCACAGTTATAATCTTCTATTTTAATGGCAATGTTTTAGCTTCAGAAAAAAACAGACATTGTAGGGAGCCAAATCAGGTCTGTATGGGACAGGGCTTTAACATTGTCCCTGTAATAATAGAACATCTGTTGGAAACAACTGGTTAAATCATTTTGTTTTGATGCCAAGATGATATAAAAATTTTAATAAAAATTCTACATTTATTCTAAAAGCATCTAGTTTCTTCAAATAAAAAAAAAATCTTACTTCTTACTAATAATGGCAGGTTTTTATAAATAGAACACACACATACACACAAAATAAACAAAAATTTAAATGCTTCTTTTTAAGCTGGTGAATGAAAACCAAATTAAAAATGAAGATTGTTGAGCATAATTGAGTTTTAAAACATAACATATAAATATTGTTTGTTAATATTTCTGTAATGGGATTGGTTTGGCTAATAGGTAATTAAAGAGATCTTTAACTATAGTTCACTGGCAACTTTGAGCCAGTGTACATAGAATATCTATAGCTACTAAGTTTAATCATTATAACAGGTTCATTTAGGTTTTTTAGCCAAAAATTGACTGAAAACATAATTTTGTTTTGTTTATTAAAGCCAAAGTTATTTCTTACAATTAGATCCTAATGTTTTTCATATTTAAAAATAATTAATAGAAATATCTAAGTTGAAATCCTTTAGTCTTCATTTTGCATTTGGCTTTTATTTACCAGTTAAAAAAGAAACCCTTTTTCTTATTTTTGTGTGTGAGTGTGTGTTAATATTTAATTTATTAAAAGCCTGTTATTATTTACTGTTACTATGAAAAATATTGTTTTAGAACAATGTTTTTCAACCTTTTTTTTTTTTTTATCTCATGGCACACTTGAACCTATAGTTAAACTTCTGCAGTAGATTTTTGTCTTTTTAATTGGTATCACCCCATGTAAGGCAGTAAAGCCACTAAGACACAAGGGGTTACAGGGTATAGAAGAATTAGGAAAAGGAACATTAATAATGAGTGGGAAGGGCAAAGAGTAATCAAGAGGACAGTGGATAGCAATTGACACTGCATTTAAATCTTTGCAGATCAAAGTTGGCTGGAAAGCATGGAGCCGAAAGGGAGTTCCACAAGCGAGAAAAGAAACTGTTAGCATATCATTTCTGGTTATATCTAGCCAGCTCAACTGTAAAATGATGAGACCTTGATGCCAGTCTAGTACTGTGCTTAAATTCGAAAAGCCTAGGTATCCTATTTACATTATTATTATTAAGTAAGATTTTTTTTTTAATATATTTTAAGAAATTAGTTGATTTTAGAATAGATATAAAATTTTAAATGAAAATCTGATTATATCATCTGACCAATGTCCTGAAACACCTATCCAGTCATTCTCTAAACTAATGTTCTATCAACCCCAGGATAATGAGACTATATTAATTTCAGTCCTTGTGTTGGTTCCTTCTGGAATATTACAAATTTATGTACATGCATGAAGCCTTTTCAGAATTAGATAATAAGGTGATATCTCTTACTTTTAAATAAAGACTTTTTTTGTAACAAAAATAAAAAAAATTCTAGAAATAGAATAAGTTATCTCCAGAGCTAAATGGGGTAATTTTTGTTTAAAAAAAGAAAATAAATCAAATAAAAAATGACTTCAAACTTAAAAGTAGGTCTTATCTGCTTCTTTATATATTTTGCAAATTTCATGATGACAGAGTAACATTTCAAAAGAAGCCCCACACTACATATATACAATGTTTATATCTGGTGTATGAAAAAGTTCATAGCATCCTCCTTTTTCTTTAAAAAAGAATAGAAAGAAAAGGTAAGATACAATGTACATAGTTGATATCCTTTTTTTTCTTTTTTAAAAAAAATAGAAAGAAAAGATAACACATATACATAGATTTTTTTTTTTTTTTTTGCTGTAAAAATTTGTTCATACCTAAATTGTTAATTTAAGACAAAATAGTGACTTCTTTGATTTTGTCTTCACTTCTGAGTTCTTAAAATTATCCAAAGTGGATTAAAAGTCACTTTCTTCATTTCTTGTATGAAATTATCCATATTTAGAAGAGAAAAAAAAATTCTCTCTTTCTCTCTCTAATTAAATTAATAAATGTATTTATTAAATCTTGGGTCAAGTAGTGCAATATGTATTGCAACTTGAAATAATCACTTGTTTAAATTTTTTTTCTTTTCATTGCTGTAATTTAAGCACTCTAGACCATGAATATGGTACTTTTTTTCCTCTAAAAGGCGGAGGGGGGCAGTTTCTTATGTAATTTCATTGTAAATTTATCCCCTACATCAGTAAAAACAAAATTTGCACATACCACATGGTTTCTTACATTTTTTTAAAATATTGTAATCTGGAGTTCTTAATTGATAGTAATATGTTAAAAAATACACTAGATCTTGTTTTTTATTTTATCATATACCTCTTTATAGAGTCTTTTGTTGTCAATGATGACATCTGTCTTCATCAAATAAGAAGCATGAAAATTTAAGAAATCACTGGTTGATGACATTATGTTGACATTGATGACTGTAAGGACCAAACTGAGATGCACATTGCTGTCCAGGTTGGACACTGAATATCAACATCTGGTGGCAGTGACCCACATACTAGGTGATCATGATGTTGTTGCTGGCAAAATTCTTGGTCTTCAGTTCAGCTAATTTCAATGGCTTGACAGTATAGTGTCCTCCAACTGTTGCAATTGGCTGCTCTAACTTCCAGTTCTACAGGATTAATATTGCACTGTTTTAGTATTACTTTCAGGTGGTCTTTGAAATGATTTTTTTTCTGTCTTCCATCATAGTGCTGGCCTTCCAAGAGTTCCCCATATAGGATCCTCTTTGGGAGATGGTCTTCGGGAATCCTGGTAATATGGCCAATCTGCCTCTGCTTTCAGTTCATAAGAGTCTCAATGCTTTTGCTACTAGTATGTTGGAGAATGTTGACATGCAGTATTCTATCTTGCCATGACAATCCAAAGATGTGTTGAAGACTGATGATGTGGAAGGTTTCAAGAACTCATATGTAAGGATTTGCAGTCATAAAGAAGGATGGATAGGCATTATACACTGAGACCTTTGTAGAGGTGGACAAATTTTGGAAATACTGGCAATAATTTTACTTGCCACTGCAAGCAGTTCAATCCCACAGTAGTTTCTGCAATCAGCTTTGTCCCCTTTCCATTTGCAGACCATGACAATATTTG